GTAAATATTGATCTTCCTGAGATGAATGATACACATAGAGGAATAAGTAAAAACATAAGTAAATGCACACACTAAGTGCTTTGAACAGTATTCTGTGTGACTGTAAAGAAATGGGGCTGATTTTTCTCTCTGTCAAGCCTTCCAGATTTTATACATACAAATGATGATTGTTAAAATCAAATTTCTTTCCTTTAGAATATGCACATTTACTCTATTAGTGCTTCCAATCCTCAGAGCTTTTTTTAAAAAAATCTTAATTTATAACTACTTTCAGAAATCATAGCATATTTATTATTATTATTGTTGGCATTTGTTTCACTATGAAAGTAGTTGATCTTTGTCTACAAAAGGTAGTTGATCTTTGAAATCAAACAAAAAAGAATTTGAAAACAAGTCTTCTAAGCAAAGTGAGTGATCCATCCTGATAACGTGATTCTTGATAAAAAATGTAATGTATTTATGGTACGACAAGACTGAATTACTTCCAGGATTCCCAAACTTATTCTGAAATTAGCAGCAATTGATTAAGCTTTGTACTGGGAAGGTGTTTCAGGCATTACCTTTGTCTTGCTACTGGACTCAGATGACTCTGGAGGAGAGAGTGAGGAGGATGATATTGCACAGCCCTGTCTCACTTAAATCCAATTTATTTGTAAGGCAAGACATCATCCTCCTGATGTGATGGTCCTCTTCGAGAATGATGAAGAACAACAACCACCACTCTCCCTCTGTCCACATGGAGAACGTATGGGTGGTCTGCCCAAACAAATAAGAGCTGGTTTTATGAGAAAACCAATAAAATAGATAAACCTTTAGTTAATTTGATTCAAAAAAGGCAAAAACCAAATTGCCTGTATCAAAAATAAAAAAGGTGAATTCACCACCAATGAAAAGGAAAGTAAAGCAATAATTAGGAACTATTTTGCCCAACGGTATGCCAATAAATCTGGCAATCTAAGTGAATGGATTAATATTTACAAAAATATAAATCGCCCAGATTAACAGAAGAGGAAATAAAATACTTAGATAACCCCATTTTAGGAAACAAAATTGAAAAATCCATCAGTGAACTCCCTAAGAAAAAATCTCCAGGAAGAAATGGATTTACAAGTGAATTCTACCAAACATTTAAAGAACAATTAATCCCAATACTATATCAACTCTTTTGAAAAATAGGCAAAGAAGGAGTCCTATTAAATTCCTTTTATGACAGAAATATGGTGCTGATACCTAAATCAGGAAGAGCTAAAACTGAGAAAGAAAATTATAGACCAATTTCCCTAATGAATATCGATGCAGAAATTTTAAATAAAATATTATCAAAGCAGTTACAATAATTTATCATGAGGATAATACACTATGACCTGGTGGGATTTAGACCAGGAATTCAGGGCTGGTTCAATATTAGGAAAACTAGCAGCATAACTGACTATATCATTAACAAAATTAACAAAAATCATGTGGTTAGATCAAAGCTTCTGACAAAACACAGCACCCATTCCTATTAAAAACACTAGAGAGCATGGAAATAAATGGAGCTTTCCTTAAAATGATATGTAGTATTTATCTAAAACCATAAACAAGCATTACATGTAACAGGGATAAGGTAGAAGCTTTCCCAATAAAAACACGGTGAAATGAGGATGCCCATTATCACCACTATTATTCAATATTGTACTAGAAATGTCAGTTTTAGCAATAAGAGAAGAAAAAGAAATTGATGGAATTAGAATAGGCAATGAGGAAACAAAACTATCACTCTTTGCAGATAATATGATGGTATACTTAGAGGATCCTAGAGAATCAACTAAAAAAGCTACTTCAAACAATTAACTTTAGCAAAGTTGCAGGATATAAAATAAGTACACACAAATCATCAGCATTTCTATACATTACTAACAAAGGCCGTCAGGAAGTGATAGAAAGTGAAATTTCATTTAAAATAACTGTAGACCATATAAAATATTTGGTAGTCTACCTACCAAGATAAAATCAGGAACTACACAAATACAATTAAAAAACACTTTTCAGATCTAAACAACTGGAAAAATATCAATTGCTCATGGGTACGTTGAGCTAATATAATAAAAATGGCAATTCTACCTAAATTAATTTACTTATTCAGCACCATACCAATCAAATTATCAAAAATATTTTATAGAGCTAGAAAAATGATAACATTCATCTGGAAGAACAAAAGGTTGTCTATAGGTATGTGTTCATAGGAAATTTATTTTAGTCTGTCAACAAGTCAACAAGGAGTAAAAGAGAAAATGATAAAACTTTTTAATAGAAGGGACTAAAATGAAAAGATTAGAAAGGTGAGGAGGAAGAGAAGAGGAATATTTTCCCAGAAGAGGAAAAGAAAGCAGGTCGGTAAAGAACATTCCCATAGACATAACTGGAAGGGAGATGGGATTCACAAGATAGTAGAAGCCAGTGGCTGGGCTGGGGCTTATCCTGGCTCTGGTCAACCTTCCTCCTCAGCCTGCCCTCCACATTGTTCACCATAATGGAGCCTGAATGAAAGAGGCACGTAGGTTTGTTGCATCTATGACTGGGTCTACTGGTGCTGGCACTGACCTTCAACCTGGAGAACAAAGGTTAGCTGTAGCTATTTACAAAGGAAGAATTGACCTGATATTGTGGGGAGGAAGAAGACTAGTCCATTAAACTGGCAATGAAAGGAGATGAAATCTCTGGATAGTGTCTTCACCAAAGCTATCTCATTCTCTAGAATCCTAAAAGAGAACAATAGCCTTTCATCAGAATTTTAGTCCAAAAGACTAACCCCATTTTGAAATCAAGAATGAAGAGATTAGAAAAGGTAGAGGAGGAAGAAGAAAGAAATCTTTTCTCAGAAAAGGAAAAGACAGCAAGTCAGCAAAGAACATTCCCATAGGAAGAACTATAAGGAAGATGATAATCTTCTAGAGCAGGCTCTGCTGATGAGAAATCCTCAAGAAGCCAAAAACAGAGGCCAGGACATACAGACTTTGGTATAAGTTGAAAGGGAGATCAAAGACTTAAATATCATTCCTCATACATTAAAAGAGTCATAGAAGCACTTTGAATTGTAGCAGAGTTGTTACCTATTGTTTGGGGGATGGCAAATCATATTGTGGCAAATGAATACATGACTATTTGTTGTTACTCATTTTCAGTTATCTCTGACTCTCTGTGACCTCTTTTGGGATTTTCTTAGCAATGATACTAGAATACTTTGCCATTTCCTTTTCCAGCTCATTTTAATGATGAGGAAACTGAGGCAAATAGGGTTAAGTGACTTGCCCAGGGTCACATAGCTAGTGTCTGAGGCCATATTTGAACTCAGGAAGAAGTGCTTTCCTGACTCCAGGCCCCACACTCTATCTACTATGCTACCTGGTTGCCCCATATATGACTATTACTTTGCTATAAGGTATGATTATGAAAACTACAGAGAAGCATGAGAAGTCTTATACAAACTGATACAAAGTGAAAGAAGCAGAACCAAGAAATTAATAAACAATACTTCTACAGCAATATAAATGAAAGTGAATACTTTGCAATGCTAATGACCTGTCTTGACCCTGTAGAATAGCTAAGAAAAAGAACCTCCATTCATTCTTTGCAACCAGAAGGAGATATGGCGGGGTGAGGGTAGGGGGTCAAATACTGTAAAAAATACATTTTTATGTATTTTTGTATTTCATTTTTGTATATTTATGCATTTTATGCATACAGATGTAGTTAGTATCCTGGTTGCTTTTGCTGAACTTCTCCCTCCCCTCTTTTCTTTTATCCTTATTTAAAGGGATATCATGCTTCTTAAGAAAGAACAGAAGTATAAAGAAAAATTTATCACTAATAGTAATGCAATTAGAGCCAAAAAGTTGGAAGAATACAACAAAATTGGGAAAGCCCTTTATGGAATAATGCAAAGTGAAAGAACGGGATGTAAACGGAGTTCTCACTGACTGGAGCACATTAGAAAAGTAAAAGAGAATGAAAGGACAAAAAATTCTGAAGAAGTCTTAGAGTCAATAATTGAAAGACTATATGTTACTTTATGTGTTGTCATTAATAAATGTAAATGTAAATAATTGCTATGCAAACTAATCTACGCTAAAGTTGAAGACAAATTTTCTAATAAATATTAAAATGCTTTTTTTAAGCAACGAAAGATATGGAAGTAAACACTCCTTTCTTATTTTGATGTTAATTTGAGCTATTTTAATAAACTGTAATTTGCAATGATCTTATAAAATAATTTTTATTTGTTCCGGTTGGTAACTTTAAATTAAATAAGAATTTTTAAAAAGAATTTTTAAAAATCCTCTAGCATAGTGCTTTTTTAACAGCTCTAAGAAATAAAGAATGAAAATATCAGTAAGACTTTTTTTTTTAACAGATAATTAAACTGATGCTCAGGTAAAATAAATAACTTGGCCATGAAAATAAGGGATAGTAACTACAATTAATGTGAACAGGATTTGGGTATACCTAAAATAGAAATTCACCCCCAAAGTGATTAAAACCCATCCATCATCAATTGAAGCAGCGAGTGGCTCAGTGGATGGAGCACTCAGCCTAGAACAGGGGTGGGGAACCTGCGGCCTCATGGCCACATGTGGCCCTCTAGGTCCTCAAGTGCGGCCCTTTGACGGAATCCAAATTTCACAGAACAGATCCCCTTAATAAAAGGATTTGTTCTGTAACAGTCGGACTCGGCCATAATGCCACGTATGGCCTCCAGGCCGCCGGTTCCCCACCCCTGGTCTAGGGTCAGGAAGGCCTGACTTCAGATCCAGCCTCAGACAGTGCCTAGCGATGCGACCCTGCAGTGGGCCCCAAGGAACAGGGAGAAGGGGACCCCACAGCTTCCCCAACCGCTCCGCCACGTCTCAGAGGAGCTCCCACCAAAGCAGGTCTTAGAACACTTGAGGACCCGAATCAATCCCCGAGCGCAAGCGCAGTAACACCATCTGCCCATACGATGACCTACATAACGACACGACCCGCATTGCCATCTTATGAATATTACGAGAAGGGTCTCTCGAGAACACAAGTCGAGCCTTGACCTGGTGTCCCTTCGGAAGTGCCTTTCTGGGCATGCGCTGGCTAAAGCCTCAGCCACCTCCCCTGATTCTTCCCTAAAGGCGCAAACTCACCCTCTGACTCCCCTGTGCAATGACAGGCTAAGCCACACACCCAAAGCCAAAAAAAATTGATAGGTCTTATTTCCACAAGGGATGCTCCCTTGGATGATGGCTACTCTGAGGCCACTGCTGAAGGTTGGTGTTCTGAGGCCACTGATATTCCTAAGGTTCCTGGACTTACCAGCCCATCAGTGGCAGTTGGTCAGTCCACGGCTGGTGCTGATGTTAGGGGTGACCGGGATAGTGGGTCCATTCTCCACAAGGATTTCTCCCCTTGATGATAGATGTAGGAACTGGGCTAGAAGAACAACAATCAGTATAGGAAGGGAGAGGGAAATAGACACTTAAATTCCCAGGGCTTTCGATCTTTGGATCCAGGGATTATTCCACTGGGACACGAAGGGAGGAGATAATCTAGGCAGAAGGTAGTTTGATGAGGTTGCCTCATTTTAACTCCTTTCTCTATCTCATGAGGTTTTGAAGCTTCAGTTAGGGTAACTTGCCTTCCACTGTGGTGGCAAATGGCTCGTCCAAGTTGAGTTTATTTGATAGAATCTCTTTTATGAGGGCATTTCTAATGAATGATTGCACTTCTTTTAGCTAATACTTCTCTAATCTCAGTGAAAATGGATATCTCTTTGGTTGTACATTCATTCTATTAAATAAAGTCTCAGACCTCTGAGTTCAGTGATGTATAAAGCGTTACACTTTTTGTTATAATCTTTGCATTGTATTCTTTGCCAAAAATATCTTTAATACATTGAAGCTGACCTAATTCCAATCCTACCACTTAGATTCAATGAAATAATCCTTCAAGATTTTGTATTCATTTATTTAGAAAACTTATACTGAATTTAAAAGTAATAAACATTAAACTTTATGCTTTAGCCACACCTTGATAAGCTTAATATATTAAATATAATTCCATAATTTTAAAATCTGTAAGCATGTATGAACAATTATGAGGGATGCCTATGAAGTAAGAAGACCTATTTTCTATAATCCTACAGTTGTCTCATACCTTTATTTTCCCACTCTATATTTCAGTTAATAGCCAGTATTGTTAAACGCTTGCACACACATGCCTTCACATGTATAAATCCTTCACTAAATTCAATTTCTAATTCCTCTCCCAAGTGAAGGATAACCCTGATCCTTCATAAATAATAGCTTAAGGGCTGAAAAGTCACTTTTGAGATCATCTAGTGCAAAGAGGCATGTGAAACAGACTAAAAAGGCTGAAAGTCATGTAGGTAGTAAGTGCCCTAGTAGGACTTGAACCAAGATCCTAGTAGTTATCCATGCTACCTCCTCTATATAACCTGAAAGGTAATATCTTTTGAGGGCTAATGAATTTTTTGTTTTGTTTTTTAACTTTGCATCCCCAGCACTTATGGTACTTAATAAATGTACAATAATCTATTAATTATAATTAATTAATGCATAGTTGTTGAATTGAAATTGAAATTTGTGCAAAGGTTGTGGCTACTTAATATCAATAAATGTTTTACAATTATATTAGAAGTTCTGGTTCACCTTATGAAGTGATTTACAACTATTTCCTTTCTTTTTTTTCCTTCCTTTTGTACTGTAGGAGAAACTGCTCCAAAGGTATCTGGAAGGACGTTTTCTGTCTGGATAATAGGCAGGGCTGTGGGCATTGGGATTCAGCTCAGAAAGTCAGAACATGATTGGGAGAAGCAAAGTTTGCCCCAGAAAATTGCTGTGTATGAAAATTGCTGTATATATCTATATCTATGTCGATAGTATGGGCAGGACTTCTTCCATCTCGGCAAAAACTACATTTCACAGCAGCCCCTCCCACCTCCAGTATGACACTATAAAAAATGTCAGGTGCCTGAAACTTAATGTGGGTATGATTGATTCTGGAGATGGAGGGGATAGCCAGGGAGGGTTTGGTGTTTTCAGGCTATTGAAGTCTCTCCCCCCAAGTTCCCTTCCCCTTCTGCAGTGATCCCAGCTTGGATAGTTCTGGTGAGGATCCCAGTCAGAGTATGGGATTGCATAGCACTAATGACGAATTTCTGGGCTCTTTAAAAATTCTATAGGAGAGAAGCATGTGTGTAGGGTGTATAGCTACAGAAAGGCAGAACACCCACAACAAGCTTTCATAAAGTGACCCAAACTGTGTGTATGTTTGAGCATGTATATGCATTCCAAAATCCTAAGTGCCGTTTTAAGATTTTTGGGATACCCTATAGTGAGAGAAAGGAGTGATAAGTGGCTGACTATCACTCACCACACATTTTCATAAAATGATCTACACAAATAAATTTTAGATTGTATCTTAATCAAATAAAATTAAGACTACTGTAATGCAACATAGAAATTGTATACATGCCAAAACAGAAAAAAAATTGTAATACAACATGCAAAAAAATCTTAAACATACAATAAAACCAGATTTTCTTATATTGTACTTTAATGAAATTAATGAATTTCGAAATACAAAATATTATATTTTTAACTTCTATATTCATGTTCAAATGTAGCACTCACCCCAAATCATATTTGTTATGAGTCTGCTTAGAGTGATAGTCACAAATCCTACCCATTTGGGAGACACTCAATGAATTAGTTAATTAACAAAGCATTTATTTTAGAGATACTTAATAATTATGATGTTATGATCTTATGACTACTGAGTCTTTATCTTTACATCACCTTTCCAAGACCCTATTACTCCTTGCACCCTGGCCCCTCCTAGCCCTGCACCAATTGTGATGCAAAGTCAAATTTGACCTTGTTTGTGTATACCATATTAAATGATCATTGAGATACGTTCACTATCAGATGGACCAAAATCATCATGTAAGTGTTGCTTTGGTTAATTTTGTTTTGAACTTTGTTTTCATTGCAAAAAAAAAAGTGTATATTGTGATTCTGGAGTTGTCCTCAAAAATAGCCAGTATTTTCTTTCCCCATTGTTTTGTCCCTAGAGTGCCAACATTTAGAAAAGAGATACCAATGCAGGTAGGAAAGAGTAAAGTAGCAATTTCTTGTGAACTTCTTGATAATTTGATCATAATTCGATTCTGTGAACTTTATGATAATTATGAAATTCTTAGTAATTGTGAAGGCCCATTTTCATTATCCCCAAGCATCTAAAGCAGAAACTATTCACTGAACACACTATGTGGAAAGCCCAGATTTTTGTTATGAAAGGCCTGTTGCAGGATTCTTTTCAAAGATAAAGTAAGGAAGCTAATATGTGTTTTTAAAAAGTGACATGATAGAGTCAGTTTGGAACAGCACAAATTGCTATCCTGTTTAAGGGTAAATATGGAATGTGCCGTGTGAGGTAGCACAAGAAGAAGGCCAGAAGTTTCCTTGAAAGTGTTGCTAAATGGCTAATCTTGCACTTGTTTCTTGTAAATAATACATGTAGTTAGATAGAAATAATACATACAGTTAAATTTTTTTTTTCCTTTCTTTTATCCTTAGTACTTAGTGCAGAGTGCTTGACACATAGTTGGTGCTTGCTAAATGGTTGTTGACTGACTCCAAGGAAAAAGTATTGCCTGATAATCCTATATCGTCTATGAAAGGAGCTTGAGCAGCCTGACCTTAAGCCCTAAAGAGTTAAAAGTTTTGAAACCTCACTGCCTACTGAAAGTACTTTCTTCCCTGAAAGGAACATTAGCCTTTGATGCAGTTACTGTACCATTTTAGAATTCATATCTCTCTTTGAAGTTCATATTTGACAACTGCTCTAAAGATTGTAGAAGGTAATGGTTAAGCAAATATTTAATGTATGTTTAATCCCACAATACTTTTTAAGGTAAATACTGCAAAAATATTTAGTAATAAGCTGATTTTAATCACTTAATTATGATTGCTGTTTTTATATTCCTATAATATGCCATAAAATTTCACAAAAGTCAGCACCGGAAATTCTTGAATCTTCAGGAAATGTGACATATATCAATTTAATTTTTTTTGCCTCTGTTTGAAAGGTAGGGACTGTTGTGGCTACTGACTTAATTCTTTCATTTTCAATAGCAGTAGCAACATTGTTAGGAAGAATCATCTTTATCGCAAAGAAGAGATGTAAGAACAAACATTTCCCTGCTACTTTATGGAGGTAAGGGAACATTCCAGGGATCAGATTTTTTGATGTGCTGATCCTTTTTACTGATTTTTTTCTTAATCTTTCTTTTTAAGAGATTACTTTCTATAAGTAGGGAGGGAGAGACATAGAAAGGGAAAAAAAGGACATAAAAATTAAAGCTATCAGTAAGATCTATTTAAATTTTTATGAAAACTGCTTATTATACAAATTGAAACATCCTAAAATGAGCTTTCCTTCTCAAAATATGACACAAGAACATTCATGGAAATTTCATTAGATAAGGATTGAATAAGGAAAAATAACTCTTTTCTTAATGGTCTTCAATTCATCTTATCTGTGATTTCAGTGTGTACATATCAAGAGCAGTAACTTGCAACTTCTGCAACCAGAAAAACACAGGGTGAGACTGAGTAGGAGACATATTTACCTGGCACGTCACTGGCAGAGGAAAGAAGTAGCAGAGGACACAGGTTTCTAAGTTAAAGGAGGAAACTGATGCTACATTTCAGAAAAGATCAATACTAAAATTAAAATGAAGGCTCTAGTCAATGGAAAGAATTGGCAAATAAATTCACTGATAAAAGGCACAGTACCTCCAAGTGCTCATGGATTGTACCATCTTCATGCTCTTTTAGAAAGTATAATTTTCTTAGACTCTTACATCTGCATCACCTTATATATTTGTCTACTTATATGCTAGCTGAAGTTTCTGCCTCAGCCCAATTTTTACCCCAGGCAAAGGAGTCATAAGAAGCTCTGAATTTAGTATTTCTTGTACTGTTCTTGCTTTGATGTTGGTGACCTCAGTTTTCCCATAATTGGGGTAATATCACTGAAATCCACTCTTAACTGGTTTCACTATCATGTCCCAATATCCTTGTACTTCTGATCCTTAGCCTTTAGATACATGATCCCTGCAAATGGAATTGTCTTTTGCCAACTGCCTGATATTTGAAGCTTTGAAATAATTTATCTCAAGCAAATATTGAATGATAACTGACATTTTGTACTCTCTCAACCTTGAATTTTATATTCCTTTTTTTTCTCTTAGACTGATCTCCAAGTATATCTGATGCTCTTTCCAGACTCATTTCTCCATATATTCATCCCAACATTAATGGCCCCCTGGCCATGAAGTTGTATTTAGACCCCCAGCATCTACCTGACTTTATAGATATAATTATAATAGTTCACATTAATAAAGTATTTTAAAGTTTATAAAAGCACTTTCCTCCCAGTCATGCAAGGTAATCAGAGAAAATGTGTTCATTTTACAAATGGAGAAACTGGGGCTTAGATTTTAAATGGATTTTCCAAGGTCATAGAGCATAGTGTGCATGTGTCCCTTGGCCCAGAGCAGCTCTAGTTTCATTTAAACCTAAATTCATATCTGAGAAGAATCTATGTAATCATATCCTTTGGCTTAGGCTTGGAAGCAAGATTTTCCATTGAAAACCAAGAATTTAGCTACTAGCTCTCTGCACTTCATTTGCAAGCACCAAACTAACAAAGTATGGAAAAGAGACCAAATGTAATGTGACCCCCACACACACACACTCACATACAAGAATATAGAAAGAATGGGTTCATAGTTGATAAAGAAAACTTTCTCTTCTTGTGAGTTTTCTTCCTACTGACCTATGCAGCCATTTCAAACTGATAACATCATCCTGAAGTTGAGTTTGCTCAAAGCTGGGAAAAAAATCAGGATCACTAGAGAGCTATCCACTTCTCTGACCTGGACAGCTCACATTACCAGTTAAAATTAAGGTTTACATTTTCTCTTTACTACTGTAACTGCACTTTGCTGTTCTTCAGTGATAGCTTCAAAATCTGATTTGAACCAAAAGCTGCCCCACTGCTATTTAGCTGCCAAGTTGCATTCCTGCAGCTCCCAGATTAACTGAGGAACTTCATACCTTGGTAGAAGAAATTCTCCTGGAATCTGCTGAATTCATTCATTATAAGTGTTCCTCCTGCGATGCCACCTCTTTCCCCTTCTTGAAGCTCCTACAGTGAGATAGACAAGAACAATAAGCTTCTAATTTGGTTAGCACATTTCCATCTTTCCATTTCCAGCCAACCTCCTAGCCATGCGCAGCACAAAAGGGTCCATTAGACAATTGTTAAGAACATCTGATTTATCAATTCTTCATCATTTCTGATTCATCTTAGCCAAGTAAAATGATTGTTCCATTCACCTCTTCCCCACCTTACCAACTAGGCAGTCCCAAACCACAATCACACTCCCACACCATCACCCACAGTATGCCCAATAGCTGCCATGGATTTTGTTGTGTTTTTTTTTAGGCTAGGAGAAACAAATATTTGCATGACTTCCATTATGTCATTTTCATTCCTGTTACCCTGGACATATTAGAGCTAACTCATGAAAATTACCCTGAGATCTAAGAAAGCCTCAATAGAGCACTAGAAATATGACATCTAGAAGGGACAAAGCTATCAGCACTAGCTGAAGACCTGCTGTAAGGGCAAAGCCACAGATTCCAGTTAAATACAGAAAAAAAAGAAAATAGTCCTGGCTTCTGCCCCAGTAAGAAGAGTTACAGGTGTTACTCTTTAGGGACAACATTGACAAATCTTTCAGATGTCAGAGGATGATTGAGATGTTGAGATGAATGGAGAACACATGTCATAAGTGGTTTCACTGATGAAACTAGAAAGGTTTGGCTGAGAGATGGAAAAAAAAAGACTTAGAGGGACATAAGAGCTGTCTTCACGTATTTGAATGGCTGACACGGGGACTAGGAATTCAAATTTCTCTGTTTTGTCCCAGAACCCATGACTAGAATAATACATAGGATTAGAGAGAGGAAGATTTCAGTACCATATAAAAAAATTATTTCCTGACAATTAGAGCTTTCCCAAAGTTGAATGGACTGCCTGAAGCAGTGGGTACTATATTAATAAATCTTGAATAAAAGGATAATTATTGAAAATTATGACTATGTAACTCCTCTGCTCAGAAACCTTCAATAGTTTCCTATTGCCTCTTAGATAAATATATCCTCTTCAGTTAGGAATTTAAGACACCACAACATGGTCCCAGCCAACCTTTCCAGCCACATTATATTTTAACTTCCTCACTAACTCAGTATTCCAACCACACTATTTTCAAAGCCTAAAATTCTATCTCCTAACTATTTGTCCTAGTCATTCCTAGGGTCCTGAATGCAATCTCTCCTAACTATGACTCTTCTTTTAATGCTCACCTCATATTCTTCTTGAAGCCTTTCTGGATTGCCTCACCCCTTCACCATCTCCCCACCTATTAATTAATTAATTTTAATTAATTATTTTAATGTTTTCTCCTTTCTCAAATGACTTCGTTTTTATCTTTCACACCCTCCATCTTCCTCCCCCCTACCCTTATTTGAATGTAGTTGCTTGAAGGCAAGAACTTTAACTGTAGGTCTAGCACAGTGCCTAGGACATATTGTGTGCACTTAATAAAAAGTAGGGTTTTTTTTCCCTTTGGAATAATCTTTTAGATGCAATTCTTATTTAAATATAGATTAAATTAGATGTCCTCCAAAGTCCCTTCCAACTCTGAGATGCTGTGATACTGAGCTATTCCTATATTAAGGTCTTCCCTGTGTGGTTCCTGTCCTGTCCTGTTTCTGTCTGAGAAGAGAGTGATAAAGGCACAGAAGTGCAAATGGGTAGAGTGTTGGGAGATGAAGTAAGCAGACCAGTCAATACTCTAAATCCTTTTGCTGGCTCCAAATCATATGTATATAAGGACAATAAAAAGGAAGTTAATTCTCCTCAAAGCTCTGAAATACCAAAAAAATCAATTTCTTAAGTATATAATGAAGGAAACATGGCTAGACAGCAGTTCATGTGGGGGAAAAAAAAAGACTTCAAAGTTTTAGTTGACTACAAACTCAGTATGAGTTCTCAGTGTGAAGTGATTGCCAAAAATCTGGATAGAGAGGTGGGGACCATAGTTAATGAGATCTGAGATTGTATTAATAGAAGTTTAGTGTTCATTGTAAAAGGATTAATAGTCCCATTGTCCCCTCCATTGATCAGATTACATCTGGAGGATTATTTTAATTTCGATGCAATGCATTTTTGAGAAGGCCATTGATAAACTACAATGCTTCAAGTCAGCAGCAAATACGGTGGTGAACAGAGTGGACAGCTTGATATATGAGGACTGGTTGAAGGAAACAGATGTTTTATCCATAGAAAGAAGCAAGTGCATGATACTAAAGACATAAGCACTATTTTCAAATGTTTGTGGGGGAATTCATTTACGTGGTTGAAAGGGGCAAAACTAGAATCAGTAGGTAGAATGATAAGGGCATTTTAGCTCAATATGTAGAAGGACTTAATGACTGAACCTTTCTAAAACTAGTACAGGTTGTTGCTTCATTAGGTAGTGACCATTTGTAATAGAATGAGGAACATGGAAATAATCTAAATATTTGATGATGAAATCACTTGGCAGCTAAGTGGAGCAATAGATAGAGCATTTAACTTGGAGTCAGAAGCCTTGAGTTAAAATCTAGCCTCAGATACTCAGTAACTGGGTAACCCTGGGCAGGTCATTTAACTTCTCTGTGCCTCAATTTCCTCATCTGTAAAAAATAGATATAATAGAACCTATCTCCCAGGGTTTTTGTGAGGATAAAATTAGATAATATTTTTAAAGTCTAGGCAAATCAAATTACCATAGAAATGCTAATTGCTGTTATTGAAATTTGTCCCCTCAAAAAGCAAAATTAAAATGTTGTAGCTGCTAATTCATTTCTTTAAATTAAATTATATTTTAATGAGCAAAATTCTACTTTCTTTCTCATTACCTCCTCACCCCCAATTAAGAAAGAAATAAAATCCTTATTATAAAAATAGTGAATTAAAACACATTTCCACAATGTCCATGTCCAAAAAAATATTTATCTTATTCTGCACTGTGTCATTCATCTCTCTATGAAGAGGGAGCATGGTACTTTTTATAGCATGTTTTGTGATTAATTCTCTGATTTAGTACAATGCTTGGCACATAATAGATCCTTAAAAATATTGAATGATTGATTGATTAGAATCATGGGTAGACATTATACAAATCAGAGCTTCTACTTTTTTCAAAGACTTTAGAATACTGTTACTTTTGTATACAGTTTTCTACTAGTTCTGCTCACTTCACTCTGTGTCAGGTTATGTCAGCTTTCTCAGGATTCTCTGAAACCATATCCTTCATCATTTCTTACCACACAATAGTGTTTCATCACATTTATGTATAATAATTCATTCTGTCACTCCCTGCTTATTGGGCACCCCATCAGCTTACAATTGTTTGTTACTCAAAAAGATCCCCCTCTCTCTCTCTCTCTCTCTTTCTCTCTCTCTCTCTCTCTCTCTCTCTCTGTGTGTGTGTGTGTGTGTGTGTGTTGTGTGTGTGTGTGAATTATGCATTCTTAGTTAACAGTTTGTTTTGTTTAGGAGATATTTAATATTTAATAACCCTCCCTTAATATGTCTTCACTCTAATTTCTATTTCTCTCCTTTCCCTGTTTCCCTGCTAAGTAAAATATATTTCTGTACCCAACTCTGTATCTCTCTGTGTATTCTTCCCTCTTTTGATCAATACAGATGAGAGTGATATTAAGTA